GGCACGGACACTGAGTGGCATTGAAAAACAAAAGTGCCGGCAGAAGTAGGAAGACAAGTGGGCACGACGTGGATGAGAAAGCTGACCGTCGCGCGGGATACGTTAGTACGAGCGCATTCAATTCTTGGAAATGCGTCGCCGTCTACACAGCGCGGAAGAACGAGGGAATGGAGATTCTGTCGAGTGCAAAGGACGATTGAAAATGTTGGCGACGATCCAACGAAGGGGCCTTCGTATACATGTTAAAAACGTTCTCTATCCATAATATTAGTTCTACGAATAAATTCGACAAGAACACGATATCGGGAGTACACGAAAAAGCGTATGGGCCAATAACTCGAGTAAGAATCAAGCTGTCACTCGCACAGCTGGAAAATGTAATATCGTACTTCGCTATAACGTTAATGGAAAATATCTCATTTCACGAGACACATTAGAGACTCCGATATAAATTCATCGGTTTCATGTAATAAAGCTTGTTTTCATTTTTCGATTTAGACTATATATGCTAGAAGTATACTTAAATCGATAACTAGACGGATTTAAGTACCGATTGCGAGAGATCAGATGTTTATGACCTTTGCACTTATTACGACCAAAACTTTTACATATCTGGCACGCTTTGTGCTCGTCACATTTAAATAAGAGGAGTGGCGGCAGCGACGTGAAACGCGACGGAGGACAAAGTTATACAATTCTAACTTACGGCTTCGTAATTACACGAAGAAATATGTTAGATCATATCTCGCGAAGTTCTCGCGTGTATAAAGAGTGTCAAGCGAATTTGTAACGCTCGTCGGACAGGCACATGTCGCATCGTATACAGCCGCCGTTTCGGAAAGCCGAAGCGAGTTGCAGAAGCAGGGACAATTACGCCGCCCGGCGTGGCGGCTAGTTGAAAAACTGTGGCTTTACACGGCGCGTTAAGTACGTATAACAACCATCCGCAATTATGCGCCTGGAGACAAACGTGTAAATAAATGTGCATCTCTATGCGCGCACGCGCGCACACACACACACACACACACACATATAGGCGCACGCTCCAGAACGCAGAATGACTCACGAGTGTCCCAACTATTGTGCGCCTACGCAAAGCAAAGCGCATGACATACTGCAAAGTCAGTCCTGTTACAAAGGTACGATGTTAAAATATCTGGGTACAGTTATGTGAATAATAAAATGGCTAGATACAGATAACGATACATACTATACCGGCTCTGTTTTGTTTAGCGGCGAGGCGGTATGTTCTATATCTTCTCGCGATACTCTTTTTTCCTCTTCTTTTTTCCTCGCCAGATTTTCTGATATACGCGTGATTGTTTAAAAATGCAGCTACAATGAGGGAAAAATGTAATCAATTTAAATAAATGTTTAATTTAATACTACTAACTAAACATTTATACAACAAATAAATCTGTTCAATGAAAAGAATGATTGTTAAATCAAATTAATAGTTCTGGTATCAAGTAAATAGATCTCTGATAAATACTTAGTTGCGCAGTATTCAACTACTACAGAGTATAATTACTTTGGAGTAGTAATCAGAAGGTAAACCACAAATTAGATAAACGTGAAAAACGATACCCAGATATTTAGCCCACAGTAGATAAAAGATTTGTGTTAACTATAAGTGCATAAGACGGAAAGATGGGGAAATCGAGTCTTAGGTCAAGGTTAAGAGCTCGCACTCCATAGAAAGTGTAATGATCGAGCATACGCGAGGGACTGCTCGCTAGAGATCAGATATCAGCAGAATCATAAATGCCAGCTGGTGAATATATGCTTAATTTAAAAGCCGGTTTAGCTCCATTTACCCGCGGTATAATATTATAATATAATAGACATAAATTTTCAAGGAACACATAATAAATGTCAAATTACGAATAAAATTTGAATTTGGGATCTTAATATATGTAGATGACGTTATCATCATTTGCTCTTGATTTACATTGATTTGATTCGCAATGCAATAAAATTATGATTACACTAACTTAACAAATTAAGATTCCAATATTTCAATTTTTACATGTTATCTGCAAGTTTTGCAGAAATGATTAGCGCGTCCGAACACGCCGTTAACAGCTAAGTGGAACCGCTGGTGTAGCTCACTCCACCTTATTTACGATTTCATCGTGCCACCTGCGACAGAGATTACGTCTTCTGAACAGGTTTTCATACTGCATTTGCAGCGATGTTCACCGCCGTAGATCGCTGAAAGTCTAGTCGCATGTAGAAAAGGAATCTCATTGCCTTTGTTGAAGTGCACCGGGAAAAGAGGTCGCGGATAGAGGAAGAACGCTTGAGAAGAGAGCCGAGATTATACATCAGATTCAACGCGCCGACGGGCGACGTCGTTGCTGATGCCACTTGAGCTAGAATCGTATCTAAATGTACCTCGTATATCAGAAATCGAACCGTTGCCCGCGGCGTATGTTCCGGGAACGGTTACGTACGTCATTTCGTGGGATAGCCGCGCGCCAGGACGGAGCATCGCACGCCGCGCTCTACTATCTGTCGCAGATGCGCAACGACCATTTCTCGTGCTCGGTGACACCGCGACAAGCCACATGTGGAAATTTTCTTTGACTGTTTTCCGCCGCGCGCCGTCACCGTCGCCGCCTTACGACCGACTCACGGGACGTTTCGAGTATTTATGATAGGAATACACAAGATGCAACGGAAGATCCACGGAGCGGATGAAACGTTACGTTTGCGTTACGGCGCGTTATCAAGGCGCGTTCTCTGTTCCTGTCGACAACGAATCTACAAGGGGGTCCATAATTTATGATCATCATTGTAATGAAAGTCCCTGGGTGTCCGTGCAACAAATCGTTCTCTCCTGCATAAGTATGAATATGCTTACTCAAGTCGAAAGTATTGCCGCAATGCGTTACGCGGAATATCAGCGCATAACGCTGAATATCATCGTGGCCCCACGTTTCATTGGTATATTCATTGTAATAAACTGCACCCTGTAGTTCTTCATTACGATTGCGCTGGCGTGAAAATTGAAGTAACGGTGTACGTTTCTTAGTTATTATACCAATATGGTCGATAGATGCTTGTTTGCCATCAGTTCTTGCACTTTGAATTTCGATTGACGATCAGCAGCAGCGAATTTATGGTACGAGCTGGAAATAGCTATTTTCTCAAGGCGTGAATTTATACGATACGTGCGCGGTGCACGTAGCATGCATTTTTCAAGGTGAAATGAATGTGAAAGTTAAATGGTTAAACGGACAGTGAAAAACATGAAACGACGCTATCCTATTGTCCACCTTTCGACGGACCGGATATAACGAACGCGCTCCGCGTAAAACGACGGAATTGATCGGTACTGGAGAGTGCTCGTTCCAGCGATGTTTCACGTATACTAGTTTGCGTATACCACTTCGCGGTAATCGGTAAATTGCGCTTCGTGCCGATCGAAATAACGATTTCGCGCTTTTCTAATTGGCCCCGAACAGAGGTCACAAATCATATCTCGAAGCGCGAAGGTTCGCGGTTATACATGCACTCGGGCGTTTTACTCCTTTTTGCACCATCACTCTGTTATTATCCTGTCCTTCCTATATCCCCTCTTTTCCTCCCCTTTGCATCCCTCCGTGTCCCTTGCTTTCCTTATTTTAACGGATTTCAAGCCACGGATGTACTAAAGAGTTATCGGAGGATGAAAAGGAACAGGAAGAAGGAAGCGTGGGAGGCGAGATGAGTAGACGGGAAGTTAAACAAAACACTTCGGATGAAGTTCTACGAGAGGTACTTAAGACTTGACTCCGTGCTTCATTATCGCATAATGTGGTAGTATTATAAGAAGTAAATGGTATCCGTCTGTACTGCGTGTGATCCCCCCTCCCCCCGGAAGTAAGTATTCATAAGCGTAATGCGTCTCAGTCCACAATAAGTAACGTCTTCCTACGATTTGAATTTTCACGGGTAATTCGACCGCGGTTGACCGCTATAAAGAATCCGTCTATGTCGCGGTCGCAACTTTTCGACCACAATCTCGCGCAGTCACCGTTAAAACAGGCAACGGCATTAGCCTGCACGGCCTCGTAAGGCGTGACCTGCTGATGGCAGGTAATTGAATATCTTTAGCGCCTCTTTGAGATCGACGTGCCGCATCTCGATTCGCATCTCGCTTGAGAAACTCTTCCTTCGTATATTCCTTCTCTGCGATCCTCCTTCCCAAGTATTCTCCTCATTATTCTAATGGTTTATTATGTCCTCCTCAAAGTCCTTCTATTTTCGCATTTTTCAAAATAATTAAATTAACTCTGGCTCTAAATTGTTATAAATACCAAAAGATGTAAGATATTTTTATTCTAAAATATTTTGTTAGACTTTTTATTACTTTTAGATCTTTCATTTCTCTTATCGTTTTATTCTACCTGTCTTCCTTTCTTCCTTCCTTTTCTTCCTTATACCCAGCTTCAAGCAAGTTTTCCATGAGTCACGATTGAAGCTCCCGTCACATAACGGAGATTAATTACGATTTAGCAAAGAGCGGATGACGTATGATGAGACGTGGGCGGAGTGCCTACTTCGTCGCTTATCGCGACGTGGGCCAATAACCGAGGAAGAACGTGGTACTTGCGGCGGCGAGTGATAAACGCGTTGATTTATCAAAACTGTAATCCAACTCGACAACGTCTATAGATTATCACAATTGCACGTATCACACGTGGGTAATAACAGTGTACGCAACTTTACTATTGACCTATATAAAGCTCCGTTATTGAAATAATATGGAAAACTGCATGCGCAAAACAAGCAAACAATATTATGTTTGTGATAAATATCACATGCAAACTTTTAATATAATCAGCAATAATCATATTTTAATTACAAATTAATAATCACAGATTAATCAGATAAGCTGTGTTAGGAAATAATTATTTTTCTTAAATCACAATCACTGCTGAAGGTGTACAAAATATTATTAACGCAGCATTGAGCGTTTCGAATCATTGATTTGAAATCGTTTCTGTTTTCAGGCGCACTGTCGCAATCTCAGTTCCCCGTGTTTACGATCTATGCCCAGAAGAGCTGTCTGGCAGTGAAGCCCTGCGAACGAGCTTGGTGCATCGATAGAGTGCAGGGACACCGCCTTCAGGGTCACGCACGTAGGACCATGACCGCCTCCTCGAGGCAGCACTGCCTCGAGCTCTGCCTGGGCGAACGAGACTTCCTGTGCCGGTGAGTACCGATGTGGAGTATTTTCCTCTTACGTAGAACACTGTCCGATTGCTCGTTTTCCATCGACCTGCTTTTCTATCCGCTTCATCGCGGATACGATGTCCACGGAGTAGGACGAACTCGCTTCGTAATATTCGTCGCGAATCGGTACGCAGAGGGAACGCCGGCTCGAGTAGCTTTCGAAGAGCGTACGCTCCAATGCATTTTCCAGTTATTGGATTCTTGGACCAGCTAGAAGACGTTACACTACGCTCTTATACACTCACGAGTGTTTCTCAGATAAGAACAGTACGCCGTATTGGGACGTGAAAGAAACGGCGAAGAGAATACGCAAGCAAACCTTAGAAAGGGTCAATCTAACTCACGTTAAAATTGCTCTGTTTATCGCCATGTATTGCAGAAAGGACGTTTTCAAGACGAGCTTTTCCTATTGTATAAGTGAGAATAAAGCATCGGATAATCTTGTGAGTTTCATTATATCCGAAAATGCAAAAGAAAAAGATATTCTATTATATGTTTCCATATGATATACTTATTTGGCAATGAATTATTATAGACGCATATGTTTTTTATATGTAATAATAAATATAAAGTGAAATTAATTAAATTCTGTGAAGCTATATGGAAAGATTATTTGAACATTTTTGTTCTATTGCCAAACAATTAACATATAATAAATAAAATCAGAAAAAAATATATTGAAAAATTTACGTACTACAGAGTTTTCTTGCTCATTGCTTATTTGAGTTATACGTTCATATTTGTCGTACTATAGTGCGATAAACATATTGTGAATGCTGGATGAATAGAAATTTTTCAGTATTATCAATCTACATGAAGCATAATAAAACGTTTTCATGGTAACGGAAATAACGAGACTCGTATCATTGCGTTTGCTCTGATGAACGCATGGCGTATTATATTATGCTACACCACGGGCGTTGGTTGTTAGTTATCGTGACAACGTAACGGTGGAATGAAAATTTTATCGTCGAGAAATTTGAATTTTAATTGCCAATGCATTCGGGACTCGAAATAATGAGTATAAAACAACCGTATTACGTTAATGGGACAGATAATTTCTTTGTTAATGTCAAATAAAACTACGCATGAATATCTTACATACATATAATACAGATTGATATATTTGATCGCGTCTCGCAATCATATTTTCAAATTTATAAGTCATCCTTGCCGTCTCTAACGATTCAGAGAAAATGCGATATGCGATTTTTTGAACGGTTAGCAAACTAGGCGACCATCGTTTTACGAGTGTCGCTATAATGCCGCATCGACAAACGTGTCCTTGTTGCAGATCATTTGCGTTGTTGCATTAGTCTTATTTACTATACACATAACAGCGTGTAACCAGATGCAATAATGCATATCGCGTCCTTATTGCGCGCGCTTATAAATAATACAGTTCCGCATGAACCACGATCGCGGTTCCTAGTCGGTGATATCCGGAGTGTAATGACCGACGCACTTTCATTATTCCTACAACGAACGAAAGAGAGGAGAACAAGCGTACAAGGGAAACTCGCGGGGAAAGAAAAATAAAAGTATGAAATGGCATAGACATCGAAGTTATTTTACGGCATGATTATATTGCATTTTAAATGCCCTCTTTCATACGCCGCGGCGCCACGGCGAGCGCTCTTCCAATCGCAGTATGCTATATGAACTGCTTCGTTCGCTCGTATACATTATGCATGTGAAAATCGCGCGAAAAAGGCGTATCTCGTCACGGCGGGACAGCACAAGACAGGATGGGACAGGAGAAGGGTGGTCGTGTGTGGTATTCATGCGTGCCAATTATGCGGTATTACGCTTTCCTAGCAATCAGATTTATTCGTACGAAATTTGCAAATTTTACTCCGCGCAAAACACGCACGTTTCGCATTCCCTTTGACACACAAGTTGAGCGTATCGGCACGCGTATATTATCCAATACCGTATTCTCGTCTTTTCCAGTCTATACGCGAGAAGGCGTTTTTATGCGCGCATCGTTATTGCCAATTCTCTTTCTCCGATCGTTATCGCCGATACAAGTAAGCGTCTAGACAAGAATGATTTCTCTCGTGCCGCGATCAACCGTTAGACACTTAAGGATTTTTCTCACGGAAGTAGTGATTATCGATCCGATGGCTTTTCTACAATTCATATGTTGATTTATATGCTAATCCGTACAGTCTATCTATCAATTACAGCGCACTTGATCTGTAATTACATTCACCTTTGAAATGCGATTTTTATCGCGTATCACATTCACCGTGTTTTGCTCGCTTTAAAGTTTACGCGCGCTCTTTGAATGCGTTAAGCATTTTAAACGTGACACGTGCTTGATGCAATAGCATGTAGGAAAATGTACCTTTTTTTTTCCTGGCTCAAGTGGAACTACGAACTATTTATCGATTTTTACCACGCTAAAGCTACGCCGGTTAAATCTATATCGTGCTCCAATACAATTTTGTTTTTCAAATACTTTCCTCTCAATTATTAAAAAAAATTCAATTTTCCATCGCGTCAATTAGCCAGCAAAACATAAATAAATTAGGATAGGTCGGTTGTGAGAAACGTCAGAGTATCAGACGTTTTTCATTGACCAAGCATGCGGAAGACGATGGTATGGGTCGCGCGCGTCTTCCGATTTCGATAGAGCTCGGTGTTGCGCGTTTATGCGGTATCACGCCGACGCGTCAAGGTTCGCGTCCGTGAGGCAAGCGTGCCGGGTGAATGTGCACGTGCACACCTTGAAAGCCACCAAAGCGAAAGGTCTCTGCCAGCTGGTCTCTCGCAACGACCCCCAGAGCTGTACCTTGGCTTCGACTCGAGACAGGGTCGAGAGGTCCTCGGCCAGGCGGAACCGTATCAAATGTGGCATAGCTACGCGTTTCTAGACCCCCGGTGTTTGAAGAAACCGTGGAAAAGAGAGCACCGGTGTGAATATATGCATGAACGACCGAACTGCTGAAGCAAATTTCCTGAACAAACGCGCCCCTTCGCGTTTTCCGAGGAGGGTGCAGACATAATCCGCTTAATCTCCGAAGAAATGGAACGCGGCTCGAGAAAGAAGGCAGCAAACTAAAAACTTTGTCCGCTTATCATAGCGATTTTCTACGGGGAAGATAGATGGAAAATATATATAATTGCAATTACGCCGTTTAAACCGATTAATATGCGAGAAGCATATCGGATAGCGTGCACCACGCGGAATTCGGTCAAATAATTAGCGTTAATTTATTTTGGGGACGATTTATTGTGAGCTGTGTACAACGTTAATATTAATTGGCATTGCAAATTGAATAGAGGAATAATAATTATTTGATATACGCGCTCGTTCGCCAGCGAAGGCTGTTTAATCGTGAGCATCCGTATTCATAAACACCGTGGAATAATTCGGTACGAGAACTCACAACGATATCGACTAGAATCGTATAAATCGACGGGTCGCTATCGAGTCGAGGCGATCGACAGAAACGTGCGCGCGCGGCCAGGCAAAGAGGAAACAACAATGAAACATTTATCCATGAGATAATGCATGGCGAGATAATACAGGATTCAGAGATCATTGAGCGAATAGAGGCGCATCCTTAGGGCTTGCATAATCTTTCTACCCTAACCCGGCTAACCCTGAGAGGTCAACGGTGTATAGCGGCAGAAACACTTAGGAAATTACATAAATATATATACTTTGTCGTTGAAGAAAAGTCAAGACGATATAAGGAAGCGAGAGAGGGTGACCTCGCGCATTTCGAAATCAACAACGCGAAAGAAAACGCGGGAAGGAAGTTAGCTATTTCATTAAATGTAGATAAATCTCCGCTATACGCGCGTCCACCGTTGGCGCCGACCGCAATTGTTCACCGTACCGCTGCTCATGGATAATCAAGAGAACCTGTGTGGTATTATATTATTGCGCAACAATACGCGCGTGTGATCGCGAGGGTTAGCTCTAGACGTGATGCTCCGGTTGTCTCGCACGAAGCCAGACCTCCGCTACTCGCTCAAGAAGCGCCGATGAAGATTGTATTAACATTCCATGGGAACAGTATTCCCTCGGTACAATCGCCTGATTAGACATTGTCGGCTCTTGGCGGCAGAATTCTTTCGCGGGAACTCCTTGATTTCCAACGAAGGCGCTTCATCACGCCGAGGGAAGATCCTCGCTAAGGCCCGTTGAGATTATTGAAAGTTATTATGTTACAATTTTTTTTTTTTAAGACATGCATGCACACACCTGACGTTAATATGGATTAATATCCCTTTAATGACCGCGTATCATTAGCAAACATCACGAACTTGCTTTCCGTAATTTGATTTATTCTCAAAATTGTCTTTTGTAACGATTTTTTCTTCTTAATAATTATTACCATTAATATGCGTATAGAATTTAATTAGTAACAACTTTTTAAAATTCTTTATTTGTCGGTAAGTTTTTCAAAAATTTTACGTTTTACTTCTTTCATTTACGGAAATTTTCACGTTACCTATTTTAAATCTCAATTATTTTCTAACACAAATATGTGTTCCTTGTATGATTATCAGAATGGAAGAAATCTCTCAAAGGTAACCAAAGTATGAAAATAATACAATCGAAGGTCTGTCACGGAAGTAGATATAATACGTGTATATTTCTTTTGTCCAATGCATCGGTGATTTGTTGTGAGCAAATAGTAAAGGCTGAGCGCATCTCGAATGATGTGCTCCAGATGAGTATTCGAGAGAACCGCGTTCGGAGCGAAGAGAAGAGAAGAGAATAGGAAGAAGGAAGAAAGACGAGACGGGTGCGAGGAAGGAAGAGACTGAGATCGCTGTGCACGCTTACGACCGTCGGGACTGGTCGGGGCGATCGATCAAACGCGAATCGGTCGTTCGAGAATCGTTCTGCTGCTACAGGGGGCTCAGACCTAGGCGATGGCTGTTCACGAGAGATAGATTATTACTGCCGGTACACCGTATCGGCGTTCCTTGTTACCGGGTAATGAGTTTATTGTTTA